GTGTTGGTTACTATAGCTTTATAGTAAGTTTTAAAATTAGGTAGTTTAAGTACTGCAATTTTAATCTTCCTTTTCAAGTTGTTTTGGATATTTTTAATCCTTTATACTTTCATATATATTTTAGGACCAATTTCTACAAAAAATATGATGGGATTTTGATAGATCATATTGGGGAGAATTGACATATTAAGGATATTGAATTTTCCAATCAACTGAATCTTCGTTCTAATAAACAAATCTTCTTTAATTTCTCATGGAAATGTTTTATAGTTTTGGGTACACAGGTTTTGCACTTTTGTTAAATTTATTCTTAAGTCTTATTCTTTTTGCTACGAGTAGCAAAAGAGAGTGGGATCCATTTTTTAATTATTGCTATTATATAAGAAATGCAGTCTATTGTTTATGGATCTTGTCATATACCTTTCTAAACTTGATTATTAATTTCAGTAGGTTTTTTTTAGGTCGTTTAGGATTATCAGCACACAAGATCATGTTACCTGTATATAAGGATAATTTTAACTTTTTCAATCTATGTCTTTATATTTTTTGCTTTATTCCACTTAGTAGAACTCAGACATCCTTGCCTTTTTCCAATCTTGAGGAAGAGGAGATCATTCAGTCTTACACCATTAGTATGATGTTAGTTGTAGACATTTATCCCAGAAAGGAAGAAGTTTTTTTAACATTGAAACAATTAATGTAATATATATTATTAATACACAGCAGAAACCACACGATTAACTCAATAGATGCAGGAAAAGCATTTGACAAAATCCAACACATTAGTGATTACAGCAAATGAACAAACTCAAAAAGAAGGTACAGAAGAGAATGAAAAACCTATTCTTAATATCATAATTAATAGTGAGAGACTATTTTCTCCCTAAAATCTGGGGACAAAGCATGGATGTCTGCTCTCACCACTTCTATTAACACTAAACTGGAAGTTCTAGGCATATTTTTTTCTTTTTTTTTTTTTTGAGACAGAGTCTCACTCTGTTGCCCTGGCCAGAGTGCCAGCTCAGCTCACAGCAACCGCAAACTCCTAGGCTCAAGCAATCCTCCTGCCCAAGTAGCTGGGACTACAGGCATGCACCACCATGCCTGGCTAATTTTTTCTATGTGTTTTTAGTTGTCCAGCTAATTTCTTTGTATTTTTTTAGTGGAGACAGGGTCTCGCTCTTGCTCAGGCTGGTCTCGAACTCCTGAGCTCGAACAATCCACCCGCTTTGGCCTTCCAGAGTGCAAGGATTACAGGCATGAGCCACCGTGCCCGGCCCGTATTTTTTTCTTATTGTAATATTTGTACAACTTATTTTAGAGCATGTGGAAAATAAATATTAAGGAGAAAAACCCAAACTGCTTTTCCTACCATGTAGAATTATCACTGTTAACGTTGTGATCTCCTTCCTTTCAGTACTATGTGTGTAGAGTAATATTTTTTTTACCAAAAACAAATTTAAAATTATATTTTACTCTTACCTCATTTCTCTCTGTTTTCTTCCTTGCTCATTACTGCCTACTCTGATCATCTTTCAGTTCCTGGAGCAAGCAAGTCCTTTTTTTGCTTCCTGGCCTTTGCATATGCTATTTCTTCTATTGGAAATTCTCTTCACTTTATTATTTGTATGACTAGGGCCTTCAGGTTGTTTAGATATCGGCTTAAATGTCATTTCCTCAGAAAATATTTTCCTTATCACTATGTAAAGAAGCTTCTTGTATACTTCTTGCTTTGTTTGAACTCCTCAATTATTTTGTTTATTTTCTGTTTTCTTGTTTTTCCTCTTTCCCATGGGTGCTGTGTTTGTCTTATTCATGTTGTAATTCCAGCATCTAGCATAGTGCCTAACCTTCTAATTATTTGACAATTGTTCAACTCAAATGAATAGTATCTTGCGTTTTTAGCATGGTGATCTGATAATTTTACCATGTCATTATTGTTTGAAAACAAATGTTTTAATAATTGCATAATATTCCACAATATAATTATGATTAAGTTATTTAAACTTTTTTTATTCATAGACATGCTTCCTATCATTATAATTCAAAACACATCTAGCATATTAAGTTTCATTGGCTTGGATTTAAAGCTGATTTACCCACTTATTAATATAAGAAAACTTGTGAATATTAATCTGTTTATTCTATGTTATCTTTTGTTAATTTTTATTATTTAAATATTCTTTTAATTTATCTTTAATGTAGTCATATATTTATCTCAAAAAGGATATACTAATGCTTTAATAGAGACCACCCATTCATAATAAATAATTCTAGACTGTGGCAGAACATCAAATCCAAATTGTGGGCTTGGAATATTTTTAATTCCTTACATGGAAAATGTAGACTCATGAACTTCGTATACTATTACCAAGTGTTTTACACTACTTGAATTGAGACTATTGTAGATAGATAGCTAGAGAAAAGTTAGTATTTATGTTCCAAGGAACTGCCAAGGCTGGTCTTTTTTCAAGTAAAATATACCAGCATTTGAACTCCACTTCAGCCTCTTATTAGCTTTGTGGTTTGGGATAACTTAAACTCAGTTTCCTCATCTATAAAATGAGGATAATAGTAGTTACCTTGTACAGTTCTTTCAAACATTATGTGTGTAATAGCATAGCGTCATGTTTGACACATAGCGATTGCTCAGTAAACCATTGCTATCATTACCTGGTAAGTCTCACTTAGTCCTGGAGTGTTTTAAGAGTAGGAGCTATACGGGTTCCTTATGCTACCAGGCATCATCACTAGATAGTGACCAGCTCATCAATAATGTTTCTCCAAAGATGTTTACTTTTACTCTTGCAAGGTAGTTTTTCCCACATGCTTATTTGGGGACTGTTTCTTGTCTGTGTACCTATGCCAAAAAACAAAACAAAAAAATTTATGATTACTTTCTTGTTCCAACTTTAAAAGGTAATAATTTTTTTTAAGAAGGAAAGAAATGTAGCTGAAAATTGAACAGTTAAATTCTACTAGAATTTCAGTGGTTTGGTAGGTAATGTTGACAAGGGGAAAGATTGGCTTGCCTTAGGTATAGCTTCTGAAATTGAGAATTAGGGATTTAGGAAATTCCCAAAGTGCCTGGCATATTCTAATAGGAGTACTGATATAATTGCAAATATTGTTATTTTTAAGTTCACATGTGAATTCCTTCCTTCTAAGTGTAAAGATTGTTTGCTACTTCTGTTAGCATTCCTATCAGAATTTATAGTCAAGGCTCAATTTGAGTCCAAGATCTATAATTTGGGGCATTTGACTTAACCGGCCCTGCTCAGTGTCTGTTTCCCCTCTATAAAATGGGATAATGCCTTCTCTGCTCATTTCACTGAGTTACTAAAATCAAGTAAGGTCATGTTCATTAAAGCGCTTTGTAACTGCTAAAGCATGTAGCTTACTTAATGATTGCTACCATTCATCCTGTCAGACCTGCCTCTTTCTCACAACTATTTGGTAGGTCACTAGTGAGGGTGGCATGATAGCCCAGAACTACATCTGTAATGTACGGCCACCTCTTAGGAGTATTTGTTTTATACTTGTACTAGGGAGTGGACAGTTTTAGATTGTTGCCTTTTCACCCTTTAATTTGTTTTGTTTTTTAGAAAAGTAATATTTACGTGTTTATTGTAGGGAAATTAGAAAATATAAATCAGTAAAAAGAAAAAATAAGTGCAGAAATAATTACTGCATTTATTTTTATTTAACTTAAAACAAAAATTCAATTATGAACATGTATTTCCTGTTTTTATTTATCACTTTATATATAATACAGTATATCATTTCATATAATTTAATTTTCTTATGTAATATTTTAATGGCCACATAGTATTCCATAATATAATATACCATAATTTATTTAAAACCAGTTCTATTTTTTTTATTTTGACATTTAATGGCTATTTGTAATTTTTTGCTAGTAGAAATAATAGGTATTGTGAACATCCTCATGGCTAAATATTTGTACATACCCTCCATTTTATTTAAAAAAAGGGTAAATCCTAGGTATGGAATTGCTACATCAAGGGGCATGTAACATTTTAAGGCATCTGATTTTTTTTTTTACAGCTTTATTGAGGTATAATTGATATATAATAAACTGCACATATTTAAGGTGTACAATTTGATAAGTTTTGACATATGTGTGCATTCATGAAGCCATTACAATTAAGATAACACCCCTTTGTAATCCTTCCCTTCAGCATCTTGCATCCTTCATCCCCCAAGCCCAGGCAACCCCACTCATCTATTTTCTTTCACAGTAGATTAATTTGCATTTTCTAGAATTTTATGCAAATGGATCACACATTATAAATTTCTTTTTGTCTGGCTTCTTGCACTCAGGATAATTATTTTGGGATTTATCCATGTTTATTGTTACCACATATCTATCGATAGTGTATTTTGTTTTGTTGCCGAATTGTAAAATTACATCATACGGATATACCATATAATTTATTCACCTATTGATGGGCATTTGAGTTGTTTCAAGTTTTTGGCTATTAAAAATAAATCTACTTTGGACATTTGTGTACAAGTCTTTGTGTGGACATAAGGCATTTGATATTTACTACCAAATTGTATGCTGGAAAGGTTATACAGTTGGTATTTTGAAACTGAAAAAGTATAATATGAGAGAAACTATAGCTATTTATTTTCTTAGGATTTTTGGATATAACTTAACTGAATATTGTTAAGAAGTTTGAAATTAACAGAGGTTAATAAGCACATCCTAACAACTGTAAACCATTTTAGAGTTTATTTTGTTGAAGTACTTTCTTTTATCAATTCAGTAAATGTATTATGTGGAAAGCAAGGATCTTTTGTTTTCCTTTAATGAACTAGTATTCATAAACAATTTATATTTCCCTGTCAAATGATGGCTTTTGCATAGAACTTGAATAACAAAAGGTAGTAGGATAAGTTTACTGAACTTCACAAAAGGTGTTCCGGAATCTGGTTTGGAATAGATGCCAAACTGTTTTTTCCCTTTTCTTTAGGTGCACGCTTGACTGAAGGAGAAGGGGGAATCTGAAGACTCCAGATGACATCAAAGCTACTTTTCAACAGCCTTTTCAATTTCCTTTCTCAGAAAGCAGAGGCTCAAATCTTGGAGACAGACGGTGAGAATATTTTCCCTGACTTCTTAAGGCTTAATCATTGTGACTTTAATATATTTCAGGCAATTCTTTCTCAGTTATAAATTAGCTTGTAATTACCAAATGAGTATTATGTGCTTTTTCTGTGCATGTTATTTCATGAGACAGTGTGGTTAAAAAAATGAATAAGATACAATCTTACCTTTAAGGAACTTACAGGGAAAGAATAAACATAGATAAATAAATGTAATCAAATAGTAAATGAGGTTAAATGCCATAAGAAAAACACAAAAAATATCCCTGAGAATTCAATGTATGGTTTACTATGAGAGGGATTTCAAAGCTTGAAAGAAGAAATAGTATCGGTGTTGATGATACTTAATTTGTTTTTACCAAAAACCAGAGAAAATAGACAATTAATATAAAACCCGAAATAGCGATCTAATTTCAGATAAGAAGTTAATTACTGTTTTGAGGAGAAATAGAAGCATGTGTGATTATTGTGAGTTTATTATAGTATAAAGTCAGTGATTACTTTTGGAATTATATAAAATTCCTCTTATAAGACAAAGAGTATATTAGTATTTCTTAGAACTGCTAAAATAATTGGATTAAATTAACACAAGTAGGTGGGCAGTGCAACAAAAGAGATAAGTGAGTGGTTAATTCTGCTTGGATTAACACTCCTGTTTTCTAGTTTAGCTACAACCTAAATGAATGTGTCATGTCTTAAGCTCTCGGACCTTCTGCTGCTTATTTCTGGGCAGAAGCAATCCAAGTAAACTGGAAAAAGGTACAGTGATTGATTATTGTGCTTGTAGTTAGTTGTAAAGAGTTCACATTCAACTAGGTAACTGAAAAACTCTGGTCAGAAGAGAGGTAAACAGATATAGTATTCTAAAATTCAGTGTTTTAATTGACCACCGTGTTTCAAAGGGGATGACAAATTTGAGCCAAATTTGCTCTTATTTGCTCTTTACTTGTAGGCATAATATAGTATTATATACTAACTCCTTTTTCTTCATTATTCTAATTATATTCAGAAAACCTAGCGATGAAGTTATTTTAATCACGCCAATTAAATTCTTATCTTTTCTTGTAATTTCATCAAGAAAATCTTTGAAATACTATTCTAAAGAAACACAGTATAAAATTAGTAATTATTTGGTTGCTAGTCATTTTTCATATAGTCATATATTTTTTTCCTTAAAAATCAGAATTTAAAATAAACTAGGCTTTTATTTATAAATAATAAAAGTTCTTTCATTCAGGTTAAATTATCTGTTAATGACTGGTCAATAATCTCACATCTGCTTTTATATTTGACAAAGCATGGTTGATACTGAACCCCATTTCTCAACTTTTAATTGTGTTAAAGTTAGCATTGTAACCATGCATATTCCTATGACACCCATGATATAATTAGTTTGTTGTTCTTAATGTTTGTTTTACCAAGTAACCAGAATCATAAGTAACAATCACTTATGACAGTTGGATAAATAAATCAGACCAGTGTCTGATAAGTGTACCCAACCAATGAGTTGGGCTTAGAAAATGATCAAATTTAGGTCTTGCAGATTGAAGGGAAAAAAGGACAGATTATTTAAAATGTATAGTAAACAACTTTGAAAACTAAAAATTCATAAAAATGAATTATTAGTAGGGATTTCCTATTTTCTTACACATACTCAAAAATGTTTCAAGATTTTAAAAGTGATTATGTGAGTTGTGTGTTTTCTAAAATATGTTTTGTTAAATAGCCCTTCCTTTTGAATGAAGAGCCTGTGATCAAATATGCTTGGGAATTGTTGGGTTAAAGTATGTAATGCCTTTTCAGAAGACCTCTCATTATCCGGTACATTATGTCTCCAAAAGAAAGATTTGGTATATGTCTCAGGATACCAGTATTTGACAAGTTGAAGACTCTGAATTGATATATTTTATAAGGTTTTACAATAGTTTGTCATATATAGCCACTGTATAAAAACACTCACGTTGTATTTTTAAGTATATCTTTTTTTGAATGAGAGCCCAAAGTGGGGGTGATTGGGGAAAAAAGAAGAATTTGATTAATTGAATATTGCAAATCACACAGAACATGACGTGTTGGTAAAACTTTCCAGTATCTGAGGCCGGATTTCTCTTGCTCTTTTGTGAGCAAAAAATACAGTCACCCCCTGTAGTAACTAACAGAATAAGTTCACCCTTTACTGTATTTTATAGGACTTCACATACTTTCTATACTTTGTTTATCTCAGTGTGTAACATTTATTAGCTAATTTTGATAAAAAGTAACGATAAAACAGTGTATATCTTGGGTGGAATTAAATAACTGACCATAAATCAATTTAGCTTAAACATTGGAATATACTAATTTTCCCCCTAATGGAATTTTTATTGTTATATGTCATGATTTTTCACTGGGGAGACTTTTTTGTTGCGCTTTTTTTCTAGTTTGATTAAATTGTTGATGACTATTTCAATAGATGTCTTGGGTGTTAAAACTTTCAAGTTGGACATAGAGATAGCTATATAAGATACAAACATGGCCAGTGATTCAGCTGGTTCTGACAGGTTGGGATACCAAGTTGGGAAAGCAGGCTAATTGTGTTCATGGAATGCCTATCCCAAACTTCATAAACACTCCTCAAAGTAGTGTTCTTTGTTTAACAAATAACGCTTTGTAAAAAGTGTTTAAATTTCTACACCAAGTTTTCGAAGGAGACGTAGTGTTGGTGAAACCAAGATCAACCCACAATCTGGGTGAGTTATTTTACTTAGAATTAATTGCCTTAAACCAACTTGGCTGTCTGACTGGTGTTTCCCTGGCCTCGTGAATAACCCTGGTAAGAAAATCTGGATGCTCAGCTCAAAGGTAGCACCGTTAGTTTCCAATATCGCTTCCATCCACCCTTAATTCCTTTTCTCGCAGCCAACCACCTAGTTCAGAGCCTTATCATTTCTCATTTGGAACTCTGGTGCTGCCAAGCCCTGTGCTGACATCCTTGCCTTATTTTCTCACAGCCACCAGATCTTCCTCAAACTCCAGTTTAGTTGTGTTACTTCTCTAATCAAAAATAATTTAGCAATTCCAGTATCACAGTGACCTTAGGAAAGTAACAGGCCTTCCTTAATCAATCCTAGTGTTTACTATGGGAAACACTAAAATAATTAACATTTCTTCTGAGTTTGATGTCTTTAAAGAATTGACTTTTTTTAAGTCTTTTACTTAATATCTTAATTAATATAACTAACATCATTTGGGGAGGGAAATCCCTAGTATACTATGCCTCCATATTAACTCAGGTTTTTTTCTCTTCTTTGAAAGATTTCAAGTGACATAACTAAAATAATTTTAAAATGTGTTGATCATACTGTCAATATACTTTATCTACTTATAGAGACCCTGGTCTTTTTCACTTAACGGTGGTGAACCTGATATTCTCCTTGATTCTCTGCTACGTTTGCCCTACAACAACGTGACCTGTGGTTTGCACACCTGAAGTGTGATTCTAACAGTAGAGCTTATATGCATTTTATTTAGATAACTAGAATTTCTCCACTCTGGATTAGAGATATGCTAGTGATTTTCAAACCCCATTTTCTGGTTCGCTTTTGCCTGTGGAAACAATGTTCCCGGAACAATCTATGCAAGCTTCTAAGCTTGAAGCTTCATCTCTGGCCATTGCCACGCTTTGCACCTCTCGTCCCCACCATGATGCAGCCTGTCATCTCAGCTAGTGCTTCTCAAAATATCTGGAGCAAAAGACCAGTTTTTTTGTGTGTTTTTTCATTCATTTTTTTAGTAACTCACTTTTATTGTATTTTTGAAAAACTTCTGTCTATGACAGATTGGAAATTTTTAAAAAGACTACAAAATATAAATCCAAATCTTTCATCATTAAATTCAACAGACATCAAATTACTTTGTCACATTCTATAAAAGTTTCTAATTACTGACGATTTCTGCTCTTTGACTAGCGTAAAGTTTCTAGAACATACTGTGTGCTGCTGTGCGTCCTTTCTTGGGCTGGTGCCCACACTCCCTAAAGAATGCTAAAGCTCCTTTTCCAATTGGCGAAGTTTCGGTGATCCCTAGACCCTCCCCTTGCGTGGCACCTCTGTAGGGTGCTTGCCCTAGGAACAGTGTTCCCTGCCCTGTCACCCAGTCGTCTCCCCCAACCTCTACTTCAGTGCTTTCTCCACTTTGTTCATGTCTTCTCTTGAGTAGTATCTCACTACATGTTGATCGTATTTTTTCCTGACAAGATTGTGAGCCCACTAAGGGCTGGTTTCTCACTTAGTTATCCATCCAGCTTCAGCTCTTAACACATAGCAGCTTCTTTATAAATATTTATAGATTTGTTACTTCTTGCATGGTAAATTCAGCATCATGTAACTTCAGAGATGGGAGATTTTTCATATCCTCCTTTGTCAACTAATCTTCTTTCTAAAAGGGTCATTGTTTTCTTTCCCCACCTAGGTCTTAGGGACATTTCTGCACAGAGAACATTATTTGTCTGGCATAATTTTAGTAGAAATTCTTGAATTTAGAAAGTAGAGATTTTGTTTGAAGGCAAGAAGATTGCACTTTTTGACTTTTGCCAATAGCAGTTCTCAAATTTCTTGCTTTACATTCTTTAATTATTGAGAATCCAAGAAAGCTTTTGTTTATAATTTTAATATCAGCCGATAGTTACCATATTAGAAATTTAAACTGAGAAAAATTTTAAAACAAGAATTCACGAGTATGCATTCCATTAACCATCAAAACAATGGCACATGCCTAGTCTCTGGGCAACTCCACTGTACACTCATGAGAGAGAGAGATACAAAAAAGCAGATAACATTGAGTATTATGAAAGTAGTCTTGACCTCATGTGCCTCCTGAATGGGTCATGGGACCCTTGGGGGTCCTTGGAGCTCACTTTAAGAACTGCTGTCTAATTGCCAACAGAATATTCTGTATTTTTATTTCACTAATATTGTAACCTAGCTTTTGTGTTTGTAGATTAGTAAGTTTT